AATGGTAATTTCTTGTCAACATCATACTAAATCTTCCAAAAATCACTGCATAGATTACAAATAAAAAAAAATCTGTAACATTAAACATTTTCAATTAGAGTCTTTTTATACCTCATAATTTGAATTTCCTTCCTTTTTGGAACGTACGTAGTTTAGTAACTTTTAGTATTTCCTTCCACCACCCATCCGCCCTCAATTTTATGAACTTGGCAGCCATATTTGCAGCAAAATGTGAATAATTTGCTTTGCTAACAATACCTGTTAAATGCAGACTATTAAAAAAATGAAAAAGCAATTTATGAGTGTCAATATTTTTTGTTAATTATTTGTGTTATTACTTCCTGTCTTGATAGATTTATGTTGACCCAAAACTAGAGAAGATGTACAGAAGATACTATAATTAGAATATTGTTATTATTAGCAACATCACTACTGTGATTTTGCTGTGGCACTTGAAAAACATAAGGAAACAATAAATTGTCTGCTGCCTCTCCAAATAGTTTCTTCCTTCAGTGCAATCTACTGAAGGAAATCAACTAATCTGAGTGGGGAAAAAAGAAAGTCCCTTATAAATATTAGGTTCAGACACAAACAACCTTATTAAAATTCAGTTTCAAGACTGCTGAGGAAACAATAACATTTAATGCATATAATTTTAGTGTTAGTCTTTAGAACTTCCTAAGAATATTGGAACGAAAGAGCAATAAATTTGCCCCAGCTGATTACTATATAAAAAAAGAAAACAATGATTCTCCTAAATAGGAAGAAGATGTTATAATAGGATTTGTTTTACTCTATTTAGGTAGGAATTTGGTTGCTACTTGTAATTGCAACTAAGAAAGATATTGGTTATGAAGGCACGCAATGAAATATGAAGTTGGAGGAATTATCAATTACTCCAAGTTGGGAATCTTTACTCTTTTATCTGTGGCAACTGTCTTTTCTCCTCTACTACCAGAGCAATCCAAGTTAATAATAATGATAAAAGAAACCTCCCACATAAATCTCAAGAACTCACAATTTGCTCAAAGCTAAGAACAAAAAGGATCAAGAAAATGAAAATAAATATAAGTGTATAAAGCTGTTTTAAAATACCAACTTGTCCACCCAAATGAATTTTCTCCTGGATTAGTTTCAGCTGCTTGCATAAGGGATTAACCAGTATGATCCAGTCCTAATACCCAATTAAAGAGAATCCCTGAGATTCACTTAAGAAGGAAAGCTTGTTCATTAACCCCAGAACCAGCAAAGTGTGCTTGCCTTGATCTTCTATGAGTACAAATTGTGCTGAAATATAAAACTAAAATAATAATGGTAAAATCAGCCAGAAACTTTCAAAAGTTCATTGGCAGCTTTTCAGGTTTTTGAAGTTATTATGTGAAAATGTCTTGGATACAGTACATAATCCAATTCTAGCAGAGTCATGTTAACTGATTTTTTTTTTAATGTCCTGTGCACACGTTGGCATATAACCAAACAGGACTTCAGAATAAATATAGCATCTATATGCAACTCCTGACAGTAATTGTGAGGAAAAATATAGCTGCTTTAAAGTTGCAGACATACGCTAATTTACATTTCCATATACTCTGAAGCACAGTTTTGGAATCAGATCAAAGTTCTGTACCAAATAAAATGAAATAGTCTTCTGCACCAACTTTCTATTGCCACCTCTGGTAAGACTGAAACTTAAATTCTGCTTATTAACAAGGCAAGCTTAGTGCCTAACTGTGTCACTATGAATGATTTTTTTTTAGTATGTAGGAATGATCAATACCATTAATACAACCCCACTTATGTGTAACACAGGCCATATTCCTTTCTCTGGAACCAGAAGAGGCCTTATTCTATTCACGCTATTTTTGACAAAACAAAAAATCAGGATTACAGTGCCTTATAAAAGATTGCCTGACTCTGTTCTCAATTTAAATAGGAAAATCAAATCAAACAAAAACACTGAAGGAGGGGGGTTTCATTCTAAGAGTAGACTTTTAGGAATGAGCCCCTCTCTTTCTAACCCCTACCTGATAATATTATCTAACCTTCCAAGTGGAATCAGGGAAAATCCAGTCTCTAGATTGGATTTTGCCTTTCAACCCTTCAAATTTAGCTATAGCTTTAAAAAATTTAAATCAAGTTTTACTTTGATTTTGGAATAAATTAAACCTTTCATTCATTTGAACATATATAGTATTGTGGTTTTTTTCAAAGAGAAAATCTTAACAGTTATCTCAGTTCTCAAATTTATCAAAACTATAGCTTTATATTACTTCCACTTCAGTATTGTATGTTTCTGTCCCCCATAAAATTAAAATGCCGCTCCGTTTACATTGAAGTTTTTAGCTTCTTGGGAGCCTTTCCCAAGGAAATTCAGTTGTAAAATAGTAAAAAAAGGATCAATATTCTCATCCAGTTCCAAACATGTTGTTTACGAGTATTAATTGGTGCTTTTTTCTTCGGTTGTCAGCAGCTAATAGCCAGCCACAGGAATGTAGCCGGTCTTTCCCCTGCTAGTTTGGAGGGCTTTCCTTGTATTGAACGGAAAGACCGCCATCCCTCCGTGATCAACAAGGCATTCCTCCTCTTCATCGCCTCTTTGGGGTAATTTTAGGCCCTTTTTAGAGCCCCCAGCAGGGCAAAATTGGGCATGGAAGAGCCCTGCCTTCCTGCATCCCGTAACGCTGCGCCGCAAACCGGAAGTCTCCTGAGCTACAAGTATTTTCTATTATTTCACTAAAACTCAGTCTCCCGGTTTCTAGGCCACCACCATAACCATTACATTAAACTGGTCCTACAATTGCCTGCTCAGCTATAGGGGGGGGGGGGAAACCATTAAACATCTACTGTACTGTCCGTTTTATGTCAACATTCACCATGAACTGCTAATTCCATACCTAATTGTACATCTGGTCACTCTGATCAGTTTTATTTAAATCTCTTACTATTAGATTCAAATAACTCTATTTAAGCATGGCCAAATTCTGTCGCTTGATATGTAAGATGCAACCTGTCTGACAAACCTGTTCCCGTAACTAATCTATATCAATTTTATGTATCCAGGAGTTTTGTAGCCCGGACATTGACCACAATAAAGATTCTGTTCTTATGTGCATTGTAAAGATTGTAGCAGGAAAGATAGAACTGAGAATGAGCTCAGGATAATCCAGGTTGCTCAGAACAACAAAAAGACTTCTTCAAATATGTTTAAAGGGAAAAAAATTAGTACACCAATTCTTCATAAATATGGTAAATGTGCACTACAGAAGAAAAAAAACAAGCAAATTAATATTTTTTATTAATGATCTGAATGATTGGATGCATGGAATGTTATCAAGATGGAAGAGAAAATAGAATAATAATCAAAGGGATCTTGACAGGTTAAAAAAGTGAACTAGAAGCAGCAGGTGGAAATTTAGTTGAAATAAATAAACTTAATTAAGAAAAAGAAATCAAATAGTACACATGAATAAGATTTAGATTATTACTATCTAAATATGGATCAGTAATATAATGTAGTTGCAACTTTCCAAGTAAATCACATGTAATAGTTGCACAATAATTTGCAAAGTTCAGATCCATCTCACATACTGTACCTAATTCTGGGCATTGCACCTTAAAATAGGGCATGATTTCCAATCAATTATTTTTAGTACTGTAAAAGATGCTTTTGTCATCCTTATTTATCAATAGTCTCTAAATAAATAGACACATGATTTCTATCCCAGTCAGTTCATTTTGTTTTGGTTGAGCTGTAGCGATCTTTATCATTACTTTTTTGCAGCAATCATTTAAAAGATCTGAATTGTTTTTGCTCACTGGAAAATGCAGCTAGTAAGACTATGGGATCAGGAACCACAATAAAACTAGGGTTCTTCCACCGTTTCCCCCTTCTCGGTGTACTTGGAAGGTATTTATTTGGCACATTTTGATTATCATCACTTTCCCCGGCGCTCAAAGCTTTTTATAAATGTTTCCCTTCCCCTCAGCAGCTCTGGCTGCACCTTTTACCAAGTATCTAATACAGTAATTGATCCCTGAGCTGCTAAAAAAAATCCTTCTACTGTGCCAGTACTGTTATGTTTTCAAGAGAGGAAATGTTGATATATAAGATGGTAAGACTGATTGGTTGGCTGTTACAAGTTTTCAAGATCCTGCACAGAATCTCTAATGCTCTCAGATATTGCACAGAATAACTGGTAAGAGACAGGTAAAATGAAGCTTTTCTCAGGATGACATATCCACCTGCATCTGGCTTGTTATGTCATAAAAACTGGGCAGGGACCTCACTCTTAACTAAAGGTTCTGCGATCAGCTCTACAGAAGTTAACACTTCCAACTGAACAGATGTAACAGACTTATTTTTCGCTGGGAACTTTACCAGATTATCATAACATTCTTTGTCAAGTTTCCCCTCCCTCGAAATGACCTTAATAATTTAATAGTTCCCAAAGTCTCCAGGTGTGCTTCCAATGCAAGCTGCAGAGCACAGACCTATGGGAACCCCTTGTCCCTCTACTTCCGCCTCTTCTGCAACAACCCTGAACAGCCTCCACCTTCATCCAGACACCCAATGTCTCCTCTCTTGCCCTTGCTCAGCGACACCGCCCTATTCGATTGCCTCTTCGATTACTTAGCTGGGCCCAGCAAATTCCCTTTGACTGATGTGGCTCTTCCTGCTACTGCGTTTGCCGCATGCATCTGAACGCCGCACCCCTGCCCAGCACATGGATCCCAGACCAGCAGCCGTTGGACTGGGACTACTGGAACTGCCATTGCTAAGTAGAGTAGTGATCTGAAGGTTTGCCTAACAACTGCTTCATTTAGCAATGGAAATTCTGGTCCCAGTTTAGGATTGTTTAGCGAGGATTTTAGAATGGAAGGTAAAATGTTCAATCTTTTCCTTGGAGCTTCATGAGACAAAAGGACAGAGGTAATTTGTATAATGCCAACTCATTACTATTTTACCTAAGTAAGGTCAATGTTCATGGAGATTTTCTTACCTGGCATAGTGGATGAAATGAATAACTTTTTCTGTATACTTTGTAGCTAAGGCAGTTAAGTTTACAGGCTGTTGGACAATTGTAAGGTTTTCAAAAAGAGGAAGTGCAACTTCAGGATAGCAGTTTGTCTGATGGTTACTGGAAAAAAAAATAAGATCTTGAGTATGGAATGAGAGATTAATACAAGAATGGGCTCTAAAAATATTATTTATTTTGGTAGTTCCATAGCCTTTGCGCAACAAAATCAGCTAAAAAAGAGAGCCAAGGTTACATTTGCTCTCTGGGCTAGATTAAATTACTTGTCAGAGCAATGAGACAGCCTCTATCCAAACTGAAAAAAGGTAGGGTGGAACACAAGTGGCGAAGTTTCAAATTACCACAAACTGCTCTGAAAGGACCATTAGGCTTAACACAACCTGGGACTTGGAAGGTGCAGGACCACCTCCTCCAACTTAAATGAAGCCAACCTACCACCGGTAGATCTCGTTTACCAGCTGTCCTGTTCAGCAACTATTCAAAGTTACAATAGTGTTGAAAAATAATTTTACAATCAATGCCTTCACAGCATCCCTGTTACACATTTTTTTTCTTTTTTCCCTCTTTGGAGATTGGAGAAGAAGGGACTACAAGAGAGAACGCAAACCCACAATGGGGAATACGTCAGCTGTTTGCTGGGGTCATTGCATTCCTTTCAATTTGTATTTCCCATTTTATGCCTGTTACTCTCTTGTAGTCCCTTCCTTTCTAGTGAATGTAAATACAAATATTAATTCCCTTCTTCTAATTATCGCAACACCGTGTTGAGCATTTAGAGGGAAGGGGAGTGGGGGAAAGGAAAACACAGTCACATGAGCTTATAGATTGCCCAGAGTTACCCTGTGACAATAAATTTGATAAATAAGTAATTAAAAATGATCTCCCACTTAGGAACTGTTTTGCTTAACAATGGAGTTGCTACTCTCAATTGTGATTGCTAAATGAGGACTATCTCTAGATTGTTTAGGGCAGGAATCCCTAACCTCCGGGCTGCGGCCTGTTCGAAACCGGGTCGTGGGAGAAATCGGCAAGCGTGTGAGTGAAGCTCCACTTGTATGAGTGGA